GTCTACGGTAACATCACAGGATATGTCTTCAGTAACATCACGGGGTATGCCTGAAGTAACATCTTGTGATATGTCTAATATGACATCATGGGGTATGCCTGCAGTAACATTTTGTGATATGTCTAATATGACATCATGGGGTATGCCTGCAGTAACATTTTGTGATATGTCTAATATGACATCATGGGGTATGCGCCAGCCTACAGTAACATCACGCGGTATATCTTCAGTAGCATCATAACAATATGGTATGTCTAAAATAAAATAATTTGCCAAGACACATAAGTTGATACTGTCCGCCTCTTAAATGATGTCCATTGTATGGACGGGGATGATGGGCGTATTTGATTGTTAACGTTATCATTACTGTAATTAAAATTATTACTGTTATTATTACAGTTATCTTTACTGTATTGTGGACTGTGCTGTTCTTCCGACCCGAGGCGAGGAAATACAGTCGAACGGTCTGCACTTATAATGACCACTAGTCCAAAACAATCACGTGTTCAAACTACCACTTCCCAGTCCCTTTCTCCCAATTTTGGCGTTGTTTTCAATATCACAATGACATATGCAAGATGTTTGCCTATCTAAGACAACCATTTTTTTACATTTGACAACAGGTGGTCGTTCAGAACAGTTTCGCTTTTATAGCTTTAAACGCTCCCCGCTCAACAGACATTAACCCTGTCAAGAGAGTTTTCGCCATGTTGAATACATTTACTGTGCAAACTGTAGTTTGTGTATTTACTTAGTGCATTCAAAAATATTTTCCCATCTTTTGGAGAGAAGGAGGGGAGTGTAAGGGGGGTGACAAATGAGTAGGGAGAGGCTGGCAAGTGGAACGGGTGCTTACTTCCCAATAACCTAATGGAAAACCAAAGACGTACATTCTTATCTGAACCCTAAATGTCCCAGCTAAATCGTGAGGCCTTTTATATTTTCCTTATTGTACGAGGAGGACAAAGTCGGTATCCGAAGATTCCATTCGTGATGGCTGTTTTTCAGCTGACCTGTTTTCTTACCTCATCCGAATAATTCGAGTACCCGACTTGTCGAAAAATATGTGTACCCTGCTTGACTGTATAGTGCCAGCTGATAAAGGAGGGAAAACATAAAGTTCAACTAGTTGGGTAATAAAATACATTGTAGTATACATGTGTTCTCAAAGAATGTGTCCAATGTGGATGGTTGGCGGGTGCTCTGGTGTGGCTTGCTCCTTCTTTCCTATCAAACTTCAATCGTTCTTTTCTCCCCTCCTTTTTGTGTTTGTTACTCTCTTGTAACGATTTGATGTTCGGTACTTCAATATGGCCTTATTGTGTTGCACGCGCGTAAAACACTCACTAAAACAACAAAGTGTCGAATGTTTTAGACGTAATGAAAAAGTCCTGGTGATGTTACAAGTAGACGTAATCAGATAAATAAGAGTTTTATCATCCACTATGGAAATTCTTCCCGCTGCCCATGACGCATGACTACGCAGAGGCAAGGACAGACTACGAGACAAACATACATAACTTATTCATGAGAAATAGCCCCCCTCCTCCGCACACAACCCCACCCCAAACCCACCATCCCTTTTGCTACCCCCTCTCCCCTTGCAACTCCATCTTGCCACCTCAGCCCCCCCCCACCCTCCAGCTATCAACACCTGACCACCCCTCCCAACTCCCATCCACACCTCATCCCTAAAACGCATAAATATCTTATATAACGTCTGTCTGGGATATTAAATCTAAACTTCCTTTTCATCTTTACAACTTTGAAAGTCGCATAAAGGACGCCCTGAAAGGATATGCTCAGACTGAATTGATCCAACGTAGCGTGGAAGCAAACATGGCCGAAGAATGAAATACGGTATTATAAAGTGGCTGCAGAAACCTTGGCTGAAACAGCGGACAAAAGGAACATAGGGAGACATAACATTTGTATTCAAAACCGGAAACTGCTTCCGTGCTTTGACCTCGACGTACGGGCGGTTGGCGGGTATCCTGCTGACATCAGCTTCAGACTTGGATTTTGTGGAAGGGAAATTATTTTCTCTTACATAATCGGTGGTTTTTTTTGTTGTTGTTGTGTTTGCGTTTAACGTCCACATCAACACGATTTAGATCATTCATTTTAGAAGGCGAGCTTGCGTATCTAAGCCGACTCGGGATACGTGAGATATAATAGTATCTCAGAAGAAAAGGTGCATACTTTTTGCACCAGTTTACGCATTACCCTACCCTTTTTGGACCAGCTGAACAGGTAAATTGTTTGTACATATGTGTGTGTGTATGTGCGTGTGTGTGTGCATATTTGTGTGTATTTGTGTACAAGAGAAAGAGAGAAA